GATTTAGAACAGAGTCTGAAGGAGACCTCCAGCTCCAACCATATGTTGTGGTATCTGATGATCTGCACCATAACAAACAGTCTGTCTTCACTTGTAATAAGGCCATTCTCGAAGACCTCCAACACCAGCAATCATTCAGCAAAGTCCATTACTGGTCAGACTGAGCCCAGCCCCCAGTCAATTCAAAAGTTGGTTTTTACTGTCTATACATGGTACTATCATGAAACAGATTTTGGTATGGAAGCGCAGTGGTACTTTTTATACCACTGCCCATGGCAAAGAACCAGTGGATGGGATCGTAGGGGAAATGAAACATCAGGTTTGGACAGCAGTGCTCCAGAGAAAAATGGTTGTAGATACACCTTATCAATTCTATTTGGCTGGCAAAGAATTATGCCCCAATGTCAACGTAATGTACCTGTCTGCAGCAGATATTATAGCAGCTACCGCACCCATCAATAGTCGCTGGGAAAACTGTCCATCTGTTCCAGGAATTCAACACTTCCAACAGCTTCAGCCCCAGCCCTAGCCCCATGGACATGTTCTTGTGTCAACCAATTCTTTGTACCAGCAACCCTCTTAATATACTAAACTTATTCATATGACTGGGGACTTTGATTTGCCTGCACATCTGCACTATGACAATGTCAGTCAAGGCACAGCTCAGTCTTACCAGGGAGATTTTGTCATTGCGGAGTTTGCTGCCAGGAAAGGAGTAAAACAAATTCTTAGGTTAGGTCACCCATGACACTGAAGATGGCGAAGTGGCAGTCAGTTTCTTACGTACTGAAGGTTCTGGCAAAAGAAACTTTGTGTACCCTGCCACAGAAAACAAAGCATGGATTCCCATAAAAGATGCAAAGGAAGTCCTTCCAATGCCTAGCATAGACACTCATGGACTTTACTTGTTTCCATCACCTGTTAATGTGACTGGTTGAAAAAATCTCTAAAGTGCAGAAAAGATATGTGTTCTAAGACTAATTGAAAAACAGGATTTATCATGTGAACTATCATGGAAAATGTTGATTGATATTGAGAAATAGGAGTAATGGACAGTGGATTACGTGAAAATTATACTGTGCCTTATCGCTGTGTCATGATAATTAATTAATATTCTAAACATATTGCATCTGGTGATTTTTCTAATGTACAGAAATGCTATCATGCAATAACCCTCAAGTAAGATTCATTAGATACAAAAATGTTGCTTTTTAAACCTCTTTTCTAAGATTTTTCAATAGTGCCCAAAAGTGCCCCGTCAGAGATGTCCCGTCAGAGACAGTGACTTTTTACACTTAACAGCCCATGCTGCCAAGAAAAGTAAACAAAACTGGCCTGTTTGTGCATTAATTGCTTCCCAAGACTTGTACCTTGCAATATGAATCACAAAAGTCTTGATTAAATGAAATTTCAAAGAGAATTTTGCATTGGAGTTTTAGTAAAAAAATACAGGGGTCAAAAATGTCCCGTCAGAGACAGACCTTTAAGTGATTGTCATTCCCACATTAATTTCAATACAAATTAGCTGCTTGTTTTACATAATCCTTTATGGTCTAGCTAAATAAAAATGTATTTAAAAGTAACCATGTGGATCATTTACCAACTGTAATTTTTAAAATTGTCTCTAAAATGTCCCGTCAGAGACATTTCAAATACCGTGTTTTGACCCCTATATTGCTGTCAACTTGGCCGGCTTAAATGTCGGTCACGCCTAGTAAAGCAGTTACGGGGTAATTATCTTTTCCCTAGCTGATTCAGTAGGCGTGACAGACATTTTAGCCTCTTGAGCTGGCAGCAATTTAGCATGAACCCCCAGGGAGTTAGGATTGATCAAAATCTGTTGGAATGCAGTCTAAGGGTGTATGTATTTCCAGAGATTTAGATGGACCTAACTCCCTGGGGGTTCACGCTAAATTGCAGTCAGCCAAGCGCGCACCATAGTTAATTACCCCCTTACAGCTTTTAGTAGGCGGGACAGACGCTTAAGCTTTGTTAAAATGTAAAAAATGTAAAAGTAGTTAAAATGTAAAATACATCCAAATCAGCAGAGAAGAGCCAACTGTTTCTGTTGAAATTGAATAGAAAGTCATGTACTGGCACTCTTACTGTGACCTTGCATTTAACCGTTGACCTACTTTTCATCATGACCTGTACTTTTCAAATTAACCCACCCTTATATCTCCATAACTGGCAGAGATATTCCCATAAATACTAATGCATTTGAATAGGAAGTTATAAATAAATTGGCAGTTTTACTGTGACCTTGAAATGACCTTTGACCTCCTTGACAATTGCACTTTGCATATTCTCCAATACTGCTTGATTTTAACTTCAAATTATAAATGCATCTGTTTTGTGAAAATTATGGCAATTAAATGTTTATTTTATGTTTGGGAGTGGCTGGCTCATGTCTTAGTTAAACTAACTCTTATCAAAATAACACGATCTAGGTCTGGGCCCCCTGGGGACGTGTGTTTTGACAGCGCCCCCGGTTCAAAGCTTTGAGATTGCTTTTGGGACGTTAGAGTTTACATTGAAGTATAAAAGTCCCTTTGATGCATTATCACGTGTCAGTGAAAAGATGAAAATGGTGATAGAGCGTGTCTGTCTTAAAATTCTGATTCAAATTATATTAGATAACTATTTATTGCCGTATTCAAAATTATCGGCTGTTGTTTCACTTCAATATGATGTGAGAGAGGTGTCTCGCCTCTGTATGTGTTTGACCTGAAGGGCCGATTGTATGAGATACATACAGTGCGGCAGGGGAAACGACAAGGGGGGTTGGACTGGTTGCAGAAAGCGCTTTTCGGTCAACAAGAGATTTTCATCAGCTGCAGAGTCCTAAAAAAAGTGCGGGGGGGGGGGGAGAGGGGTAGTCAGTTCNTAAATTGCTTCCCAAGACTTGTACCTTGCAATATGAATCACAAAAGTCTTGATTAAATGAAATTTCAAAGAGAATTTTGCATTGGAGTTTTAGTAAAAAAATACAGGGGTCAAAAATGTCCCGTCAGAGACAGACCTTTAAGTGATTGTCATTCCCACATTAATTTCAATACAAATTAGCTGCTTGTTTTACATAATCCTTTATGGTCCAGCTAAATAAAAATTTATTTAAAAGTAACCATGTGGATCGTTTACCAACTGTAATCTTTAAAATTGTCTCTAAAATGTCCCGTCAGAGACATTTCAAATACCGTGTTTTGACCCTTTAGTGGAATTGTTTCTTTGTAATTTTTAGGGGTACGGTCTGTAACATTTACTCAATACATATTTTAACACACACACTCACACACAAACACATTCACAAATGCTACAGGCATGAGTTAACAAGTCGGTTTAGACGTCTTCAAAGTAAAGAGTGCTAAAAAAATGTAACTGTTACATTTAATGCTCAAATAAATTATTATTAAGTTTTATATTATAAAATGCTTGGGTAGAACACGAGTCGAACCACGATCAAAGCAGCGAACGAATCCCAAAACATTAATGCATAATTCCATACCTGATCTCGATCTTGAACTCATTTTCATGCACAAATAACAATTGGCCTAGCACTCTGATGTAAATCCAGCACATATGATGCTACAATAAGATAGTAATCACTGGTTAATTTTGTGAGTAAACACAACTAGCGGCTTCGAAGTGTACGCCATTTGCGGAACTACCCGGATGTGCCTCGTTTTAAGTCAAAACAGAAGAGACAGGAAGTTGGCAAGAGTAGACAGCAGATTTTGTGGAGTGTTATTTTTGGTGAGTTTGAGATAATCGTTCCGCATTAACGCAGTTACTGATAACCGTGCATCAAATAAAATGTTACAGATGCGTAGGCAATACGTGAAAATGCACCGGATATGTGTGTCATAGATTTCACTGTAAATCAAATTTTACTCTGCATGAACCTTGGAACAATGAAAGATAGATCTATCTACATGATTATAGTGTAATATTACACATACCCGTTATCCAAGAATTTAATTTTACTCTCTTATATTGCTGAAATTGGCATAGGTGTTGTAAAATTGACATATTTGGCATTAAAAAATCATTACATCAATTGAAAAGAGTCAAAGAATTGCCAGAGATATATATTTATGGGAAATTAATTTTACTGTTGTGTTTGAGCATTTTCTTTCGTTATTTGCTTATTCTTTTGTAGTTTACACAGAATTCTCTCTAGTTTGATTTATTGTGTTTTTTGCCAAAATCTTTGTTTCCTAAATTAATTTAGTCTAAGTGTATGTATTTGGATTGTCTTTTTTTTTTTTTTTTTGGGTGGGACAAATATATCCATCAAATTGCAGGTGCGTTTTATGTTTCTGAAAACAGAGGTACGGGTATACCCCTTATATGCACATGCTTTGGAAAGAAGTTGGTACTCTAGCCAAAACTATGTTCCTGAACTCTGAAATAATTTTTTAAAAATTAGTCCAAAGAATAAAATTCTCATATTACAGCCATTAAAAAACAACTTCAAAATTCATGAAACATGTTTATGACCTTAAAATCCTGCTTAGACCTTATGCTAAAAAGGATCTGGTTTAAGTTTTGGAAATGGCAACAATTAAAGGCAAATCACAAACTTTTTGTTTATTGGGCCACCATCACTGAAAATAAATTGTCTACCTATTTGTATCAAGTAAAGCTAAAATATGTGATATTTGTCACAAACCATGACAGGCTAATGCCCTGTAGGGAAAGAAAATTTCCCTCTTGGATTGAGGCATATTTAGCAACCTCAGCTGTCAAGTGACAGTTGGGAAGATTTGACCCCTGCTTATATTTGCAGGGAACCCTACAGGGGCAGATTCATGATTCATTGTAACTACTGTAACTTGTGATATTACTGATCCTGTGATAATGTCACTTAAAACAACAGAAACATTATACATCAACAAACACAGATGTGCAAACTGTCTAATCTAATCCTAATTGTACATTGTTATTACAGATATGGCAAGCAACAATGAGCAAGCACCAATTGTAAAGGAATTAAATGTAAGATTACAACATGGGTATCCTATTCATGTCCCAGGCACCAAATTTGTGCAGGATTTGGTCCAGGCTTTGCCTGGGGAAGATCAACAATGTTATTTTAGAACCCTAGTGTCAGGGATGGCTGCCATCTATAAAAAAGAGCTTCGTTCACCTGCTAGGTCTGCCCTGGCTTTAGCATGGCTGCAGCAAGTGGCTTACCAGCTTCAATCTAGGGGCCTTGCATCCAAAACTTGGATTGACAAAAATGTGTGGCGCCTTACCAAGAACTTTATACCACCTGGGCAGGTTGTGAAGTCTGCACCCTCTGAGGTGTGTGGAGGATCATCCCGTGACTTCAAGCCTGGGGCAGGTCCAAACATGACTGTCGTTACCCAGGTGGTCAATGAGGGTTTTCCGGTAGAGCCAATGCAGGGGGTATCGCACTGGGGCCAGTCTGCTCTTGGTGTGAGATCAAAAAATATCGATCCCAACTCCAGCCCTCACTGCAGTCAGGGGGTTAGAATTTTAGGAGTCCCGAGGGAAGCTGAGCCTAGTGTTACTCCTCTGGGTTTACCACATACTTCTAAGCCAGGCCCAAACTTGCAGCAGAATACCACAATCCCGATTAACCCTTCTCTTTCTTCTTCTTCGGGTTTACACTTTGAAGCAGCTGCTCCAGCAGGAACTCCAGGTTCTGCTCCTGTATCTAAATCAAATCAGTCCACAGGGAGTGTTAAGCGAAAGGGGAAGAAGAGGGCTCCTTGGTGGAGGCAGGGCAAAAAAACTGGCAAGGTTTCGGCTGTGGCTAAATCTAAAGTTGATAAACGTGTTGGTCCGGTGGAGCTTCCTCCTCCTTCAGCTAGGGATACTGAAAGGTTTCTCCAAATGACATCTAGAGTGGTTGGACCTGATCCCAAAAGGGCCAGAAAAGATCAGCTGAAGACGCTTTGTGTGGTCCCTGGGTGTGGGGTGAGGTTGGAGAGACATATGCTCAGGGAACATTCACTGGGTCTGCATGTTCCATCTATCTTTTGTGAGCGGGCCAACCTTGAGCCCAATATCTTGGGCATAATAGTGAAGGCATTGGAGATGATGACCATTTTCATTTTTGGTTTCAAGCAAGAGCTGGATTCGTTGTACCAGTTTGTTTCAGCCTTGCCTGATATATTAGATTTGCAACATGGCTTGTTTTCACCACTTCAAATTTCTGCCATGCAAAATTTCTGCAAATTCCTTAATAAGCCAGTCCCGGCGCATTTCACCTTATACCCTGCCAACTCTGTCGGGGTACTGCTGGACTGGAGAGTCCTCACACAGCTGTCTGCTTCTATCACGGAGCAGCAGAGGTTGTTGTGGACCCGAGGGTTCAGAGGTCCAGAAACTGGCCTGGAGGCTGGGGAACCAAGAAAGTTAGTATGGCCAGCTTTCGATAGCCACTATCGCGTAGATAGATCTATTGCTGCCTTTGGTCTTCAACACTCGGGCAAGTTGGAGAATTTCAGAGGTATGGCTCCCGTTTGTTCTGGGAAAGAGGTAGATTTGCTGGGAACGGTGGCTGTGTATTGCGATCCCAAGATGTATCCCTCTAAAGGGTATCTCTCTACTTTGTCTAAGGTCGAGTACGTAGCCATCGGTTTCCACCCAAAGCTAGCTGGTAAGCTTTCCCAGGGCACACTGACCCAGGCCATTAAAGCTCTCTCAGAGTTGGTCAAGGTACCGTCAGTAACAGCACTTGGCCTGATAGGTTTCGATCATACCGAACCCATGTCAAAATGGCAGGATCAGGTAGAGTTGCTTCACAGAATTTTGCCATTTCTAGAACCTAGGCACGTCCTAGTGGTACACTGTAGAGGCATGAAAGGGGACTCTGAAAGTGGTGAGTTTGCCATACGTTCCCTTCTGTTTCATCTTAAATTGTGTGGCGTTCCACAGTCCCAGAAAATCCACTTTCATTGCTTCACGGGCACCAAGTCACTTTTGGAAATTTGGAGAAAGCAGCAGCCAAACACTTACTTTGGTTTCACGCGGCTTGCTGCTAATTTTAACCAACATCAACTTGCAGCACTTAGGGCGGTTCCTGACTCTAAGCTTCTCTTGGAGTCAGATGCCCCCTATACTGCTGCCACAAAGGGGGGCCACTCAACTCACTATATCATTTATGAAACGGCAGATATTCTAGCACGGCACAGAGGGGTGGATGTGGGCCATATTTTAAAGGTTACAACTGAAAATGGTATTACTGTCTATAGAAGGTAATAACCAGGGATTTTTTGAACATGATGTGAAAGAGAATTCCATCACATTTTGCTTTTTTATGGTGGAATTGCCCAGATGTTTAAAGTACCTGTTATGAAAATTATAATGGTTTTGAACCCATTTTGAAATATAAAATTTCCCTGAAACCCCTCTCCTTATCCCGTTCTGGGCGTCTGCTGAAAATGGAAAAGTTACCATCAGTATTGGTAATATAATTTCTTTTAGTTATCATTTATTATCAGATCACTTTACAGATAGTATGATTACCACAAAGAAAACCAAGCACTATCATGTCTATCTATCATGTCATATTTTTTATTCAATTAGCACACTATCCATTTATATATCATCCTACAAGACGCAGTGCAATGCACCAGCAGCACCATTTTCTTCATAGGTGCTTGTACATTTATTTAGATCTAGTATTATACCATTTTCTGATATGTTGATCTTGTTGGTCCACCAAGTCCTAGCAATGTCCCTAACAGTATAATAGATTATCACTATGTGATGTAGTTGACAGTTGTATCATCTGACTACAGCCTATTTTGATTTTATTTTTGACTTTCCAGTATTTCATTTATTTGAATAGACTATCACTGAGTGAGTGATGTGAGTAACTGGTGAGTTAACAGTTATCACAGTCTGTTCTGTTCTTTGTTTAATTTTTTTCAAACTTTTTATTTTTATTTTTTGGCAGACTGTCACTCCAGTGATGTTGTTAGCATTAACAACAGCTAACATCAGTCTGCTCAAATCTATCAGCTGGAAATCACTATTTCATTTATATGAGGAATTTTACATGTCTAAACAAGTATTCATTCATTTTTGCAAAACTTAACCCAATTTTGACTCTTTTTGAATAAAAGTGGGGGGAATGTTGTGATCAAACATTTTCTTTCCTCCACCTGGTCTGCTCTCCATGCGCCAAGATTTCTATGCTGAGGTGAGTTACACACAGGTCAGGTGGAGAGGTGACACCCTCACATTGTGTACACCTGAGATATCCTTGTAAGGATGTCCCTGTAGATCCAGATCAGTATAGATATAGAGTGGCATCACACAGTGATCTGTAATCTCACTCAGTAAGTGGAAACAGTGAATTTCTGATTATTTATTAAATAAGCCACATGCTATACAGGCTCATAGCCTGGGGGGAATCGAGGGGTTCGAACGAACCGCCTTTTTTGCTGGAAAATGGTAGAAGGACCACTTTTTCAGAAAAGACCCCCCCTTTTGAAGTTACTGGCCTAGGGCCTGCTATAGCACAAGTTCAGACAGATCCTGGTTTATGTTGTATATATTTTGTTTTCAGTATCATACAAACACCAATATGTGAATTCACCCCCTCATCACCATAGAAGCCTACAGGCAGCTATCACCATAGCAATACATCATCATGGCTGATGACGACAAACCTGACCATGAAAATTCCAGTGAAACTGAGAAACATATCAAACTGGATAGGTAAGTTCTATTTGTAGACATTTTAATGATAATGATAATAATTTTACTAAGTTGTACTTTTAACATTTTGGGAGAAATAAAAACAAAAGTTGAATTATCATTTTTTTACACTGAAGGGTAGTGCCCTAGAAAGTTGTATTGTGTTATAATATAGTCTATCATTAAGTCTGTGCAAAGCATGGGAATGGTCATGCACAGTTATGTATATGAGCAGAACAATCCCAACTTAAATTTTTTCATTAATCTTTTTAAGTACACATTATTAAGTTCTCCTTGCAGTGGCAGTGGGTTTCAAGTAAAGTAAGATACTAAAATTTTCTTTTGTCTTCTCCTTGCAGAGCAGCCAGTGCACTGTCCAACCATAGAACTCAGCTATACTTTGATGTGGCGGAGACATGCTGGCCTTTGATCTACTGCTCAGAGTACAACATTAGTTTCTGGGGCATGGAGAAAGTGCATCCATTTGATGCTGGGAAGTGGGGGAGAGTCTATGAGTTTCTTAAAGGTGATATACTTGTATAATACTTGTATAATATCATCATTTGGTAGTCTCACTTCAGACAATCTCTAAATTGTCAAGTTAAAACTTAAATGTTATTAACTACTGAAAGTAAGATTTTTAAGATGGTAAGATTCTCGTGAACTTAATTGTAAATTACTAGTAAACAATCTCTTTGTTTACATGCAAATCAGTTGTCAAATTCCACCTACAGAATCAGTGGGTAGTTGCACCTTGCACAAGTACTAGTGCCAGTACTACATGTAGTTAGCTGTTGCACCAGTCAGTCATGTATGTTTTAGATTGATGAAGCATGTGATGAAATATAATATATATAATGTAATTGTTCTTATTGTCTTCTTGTTCCAGAGGCAGGAATGATCAGGGATGACACCACTGTACGACCACGCGAAGCCTCTGCAGATGACCTGATGATTGTCCACCCCAAGAGATATCTGGACAGTCTGAAGGTAATGTGAACTCACTGACCGTAGTCTAGGGATAGATGTTTTTTAGCCATTTTTGTAAGGATTGACCCTGAAAAAAAATTTATCAGATTATGGAAAGTTGTTTTGGCATGAGGGTATTGCATGACTTTTAAGCCTTCTGTAAATTAAAATTTTGCTCCTTTATGCTAAGTAGCTGTTAATTAAGCGACAGGAGAAGGTGAACTGATTGACATTGAAATAAATTGTTTATTTTAATTATTTAGCCTTTGCCACGTTCTCTCTCTCTTTGCTTTCTGACAGCTTGCTACTATTGTGGATGGTATTATCACAGAGGTATATGGAAGGGAAAAATGTTATTTAAATTTTCTTTCTTGGAGAATTTGAATAATATTCTGACCTGTAGGAGGTTTGTTGTAAAAATTCTAAGTGTCAGCATAATGAAAGATGGACTGAAGCTGGTTTTCTGTGGGAATAGTGGACTTTGGTGGTATTCTTTTGAAATTAAGAATTTACTAACATCAGCTAATGAATTATTTCTGTATATATCTAGGTTAGAGTATTACAATCAGTTAATTGATTTTTAAAGAAAATTAGATTTTTCCTGACAGTTATCAGCAAATGAAGGTTGTTCTTTATCAGTATCTATATCCTGAAAAAATTAAAATAAAGAAAAACTTGTACAAATTATCTCTCTTTGAATACCCGGTTCAGTCATTGCAGTCTTGATTTCTTTGATATGAATCCTCTGCCTTGATATTGTTGCTCATCTCATACTTACCAAGTCATTTATTTAACTCATTACTAAAATATTAAAGAAATCTTTTTGGGAAAGGAAGCAAAATGCTAATTCAACAACATCCCTCTCCATACTACTGCATGCACATGTATCAACAGTCGCTGTATGGATCAGTTTACTCTTATTAAATAACTTACTGTTTATAAATCTTTCGTATATAACTTTTTTCATGAATTAACTTACTTAGTAATTTCTCCTCCAATCAGTCAAGCTTTTTTTAGACGAAGTTGTACACATATACAACTGTACCTGTATGAGATGAGATAACATTCAGAGCGGTGTGAAAATTGAAGTTCAGGAAATCAAGATGCTGACACAGTTTTTCCCAGCATTATTTTGTACTTATTGTGTACCACTGTGACAGTGTACCCCACAATGAAGCATGGCTTTTGATATAGTGCTTTTATTCAGATTTATATAGTGCTTGTACATGTATGGTCATGACCAGCAATGTCTTATAGGTAATTTAATCATTCGAGTCCATTTGTAAGATACAGTTTGAGAACAATGTTAAAGTTGCCTAAATTTGTAAATCAAGATTTATTGTGAAAAAAGGGGCCAGGATATGGTTACATTGCTTCAGTGAATTGTCTTGACCATCCCAGGGAGCTTGTGTTATTTCTCTTCTATAACCATTCCATTCACTTTGTGCTGAATATTAGTACTTAACTGCACACAAATCTTCTTCCTGGTGTTGAAAAAGCATTTTTCGAAATCAGTACTATGCATGGCATTTGTACATATAGTCATACTAGCATGAATATAAATGATTTAAATAATACTCAAATTGGCAAAGAAAATTATTTTACTTTTAATAAATTATAATAATGTTAGAAAAGGAAAAATGTTACAAATTAATTTCTTAAGTCTGAATGGATAATTTCTAATATAAGCAAGTAGAGAAAAATTAATATGCATGCATGAGCCTAGCTCCTGTTCCATGCCCTAGTATTGGAAACTAATAAATCTTACCTGGCATATCTTTAGATGTATACCAGTGCACAATGCTTTCCCCAGAGAGCCATGCAGCTGTAATTTGGACTGCTGCTAGCCTCAAAAGATGGCCGTTTTTCCATGGACGGATTACAAAATTTTTGAGTCATATGGTTGAGATTGCTTAGGCCACCCTGTAAATGGACCAAATAACAGATTCACATATGGGGCTCCCTGTACCCAAAATCCTAGGGAAACCCTTGTCAATGCATGATAACTAGCCTAAGGATAAAATTGACTAACAGTGTATGCTCAGTTTTAACATGTAGTGAAATGTAGAATAAGACACTTAGTACATACATATAGCATACTTTAAAGAGAAATCTAGTTTTTTGTACATGGTAGAATATTATGACTGGTATTCAGTTTGTATTGTAGTATGTGTACGGTATATGTGGTAGACTGTTATTATTATTTTTACTACATTTTACTGAAAGAGTAGCTTAATATGTAGTATTTGTCTTATGCATTGAAGTATTCAGGCCCACAGCCTGCAGTTTCAAAGGCTCTGAAAAAGTTGACCTTTTACCATGGGATCTTCTTGTATCAAGATCAAATTTTTTAAAACCCCGACCCCCCCAACAATGGGCCTGAGTATAGACATTTTTAGTTCTTACTTGCTAAATGTATCTGTAGAAACATGTTGTTTATTGTTCATAAGCTTGTCATAGAGTGAACGGTTAGTTTTCAGTGCTAAGCATTTTTTATGTGACTGTCTAGCACGTGTACATAATTGTTGTTGTTGCACATACAACTTACACTGTTTTTTCAGGATGGCTTACCATCCTTGTTACTTATTCTCATTTCTACAGTTTGAAAATGTCTGCCCACCCTAAATATTGACCATATTTCAAAAAATTTCTTTTTCTGATCTGGTCATCTTTAATGCCACACACTTCTCACTCACTTTGCTAAGGTTTAGTCTAGACTACAATTCTTCATCCATCCCATGTGTCTTTCTATGTTGCAGTGGAGCATCACTGTGGCTGGTATAACAGAGGTGCCACCAGTGGCACTGCTCCCCAACTTCCTGGTCCAACGCAAGGTACTGCGGCCATTCAGGTACCAGACTGGAGGATCTATATTGGTGGGTAGAGGAATTACTGTGTAAAGATCAAGCAAAATGTTTAAGACTGATGGTTTAATAGTTTACCACAAAACCATGTTTTATTAATTTGGTAGTATTTCAGATGTTGATTTAAAAGCTTTGGAAAGTATTTTGGTTTCTTGATGGAAAGTACTTTTTTCAAGTCAAAAATGACACATTTTGAGTATGCCCCATCATTAGTATAATTTATAATGATATTGTACAATATGATTATTAGGCAGGCAAGTTGGCACTGGAAAGGGGCTGGGCTGTTAACATCGGTGGCGGCTTTCACCACTGCTCAGCCAATCATGGCGGAGGCTTCTGTGCATATGCAGACATCACGCTGGCGATCAAGTTTGCATTTGAGTACTGCGGAATCAGCAAGGCCATGATTATAGATCTGGATGCACATCAGGTGAGAGAAGTCTAACACTAAGTTTACTTTACCATATGAAAACTTAGCCAAATGCTTTATCACTATTGTTATTGTTTTTAATATGTGCACATCAGGTAAGATAAGTCTGGCACTAAATTTACTTTTATCAAAAAAAGAATTTGCCAAACACTATATATTATTATTTATTTATTTATTTATTTATTTATTTATTTATTTATTTATTTATTATTTTTTATTTTACTTTGTGTATATTATCCCTAGGGCAATGGGCATGAGAGAGACTTCATGACAGATGACAGGGTCTACATTCTGGACATTTACAACAGAGGAATTTATCC